CGCTGCCACTTTTCTTAAGCTCTGGAGAATGATAAAGCAGTGGCCATACAAATTGGAGTCCAAAATGACCTGAATTCAACAGAAGACAGTGCTTCTGTACCTTGAATAGCTGTGTGGAAAAGAAGGTGTTGGCCCCAGCTGAAGCAACCTCTTCTATGCAACTATTAGAGGTATGTAAGCCCAGTCCTCCATTACAAATGACCATACTACCTATGTCAGAATCTTTGCTTTGCTTATTGATAGGCTTTCTCCTTGCCACACAAAAATATTTGTCATGGACATATTGCATAAAAATCTTCCATAATAACATTTCTATAACACACTTAACCTTTCTATGATTATGAAACACACATTATTACTTACTTTGATTGGCCTCTGGTTCCTAATCTTCGTGTTGTTAACTGTGGAAACTGTTGTCTTATTATCTGTAAATTTTAATTTAATAATGATTATTTAATAATTTAATTTAATAATTTAATAATTTAATAATTTAATATGTTAAGAAACATAAGATGCTGTTCCAATCATGTATATTTAGCAATGGCTTATTTGAGGAGAAAGTAAGAAAAAAATTAAAACAATTAATTTATAAAGAGATGTTTTAAAATCACTTATTTTAGATCACTGGAACATATTACGAAGCACAAATTATAGATAGATAGATAGATGATAGACAGATAGTCAGAGAGAAAGAAAAAAAGACTTTCAAGAACTTACAGTTATTATTCAAAAATTGTTCCAAATGCATATATTAAAGAAAAATATACATAAAACCATATGAGAGAAAATTGCCTGCAAATATATGCACACTTGAACAGAGTGGATAAAATTGCTGTCATTATTATATATGGTTGTTCTTTTGTCAATAGTTGTGCTGGTTTATATATTTTAATTTTCCTTACATTCAATAAATAACCATCTATTAAAAAAATTGGAGGGGAAGATTATTGGCAGAATGTAGTATTAATGTACTGAAAACATTAACTTACAACAAATGCTTCTTAACTGAAGTTCTTCTACATTCTTAATACTATATACTTAAATAAAACTTCATAGACATCAAAGGAAACACTAAGAAAAAAGAAGAGGTGAGGGATCCTTGGCATCTAATGCTCTAGCATTGACTATATTGATGATGTCTTCAAGAAAACAAGTAAGCTCAGACAGGACCAATGGCCTCTCATTTCAACCCTGAGCTACAAATATTCTCCTTTATTGATAAGAGAGAGAGAGAGAGAGAGAGCTATTTTAAAAAGATAGGCCAATGTTCTCTGTTTCAAACTGGGAAACTGAACTTATAACTAAAAGATGCCTGTTTCGTTTTTAATTTTCACTGCAGAACTCCTTAGCTGGAATCACACTAAGATTTAGCTGATAAAATTAAATTGTTTTTGCATCGTTTCCATAAACATCCCCTTTTTTGCTTCTTCTTATACATGGAGTCTTCCACATAGTCTAAGGCTGTGATGGTGAACCTATGACACACATGCCAGAGGTGGCACACAGAGCCCTCTCTTTGGGCACGCGAGCCATTGCCCCAGCTCAGCTCCATCCCATATGTCTGTGCGCACCTCCTGACGGCCAGCTGGTCTTCGGACCTCTGCCACTCATGCCTGGGGGGGCACATGTGCGAGGATGTGCATGCATGCATAGGGACGGGGTGCATGCACGGGAATGCATGCATATTGCATTTTGGGGGTGCGCATGCATATGCTTTGGGCACTCAGTGCCAAAAAAGGTTAGCCATCACTGGTCTAAGGTCATGTCAAAGGGATCTGTAAAAGGATCTGAGACAAAGTATCATGTAAGTACCATGACATGCCATGATTATTTATCTTCCATTTTTACCACATTTGCTTATTTATTTATTGATTGATTGATTAAGTAAAGGGGAACAAAAATGTCTTGCTTTCATGAGCCTTAGAACAGGGGAAAATGTTGTACAGATTTAATTCTGTGTAAGTAAAGGGTGGGGGGGGGGGGTGGGGAAATCAGCAAACAGAAAAACACTTTTGTGGAGCTGTGAAAGTTCAGCCTAGCTATTTGATAAATGAGCAGACAGGCAGGCAGCCTCTTTCTCTGGCTCTCTCTTTTTGTGTTGATTCAATGAAGCCTACCTAAAGAACACCACATGCTGTTCCAGCTACTGATCTAACATTCCGCAACATCTCAGCCTTCCAAATTCTCTTTAATTACACATTAATCCCACCCCTCTCTCTTTCAGTTTGGGCAGACAGAGATGGGGGCACCCAGGCACTATAGGGGGAAGAAGGCATTTTCTGAGTTTTCAGAGGGGAGCAGGGTGCCTGTCATTTAGAATGCATGACAACTACTCCTCAAAGTAAGATTTTTCTTCAAGCACCCAAAGACAAATAAAACATTCCTATCGGTTTACTCTTATTGTCTCTTGAAACTTGAAAAACAATAAAATTTGGTTTACCCTTTAAGAAATACAGCTCTGGAGTCCCTGTCAATGGGATGTTAAAAATCAAAACTTATCTGTGCATCACACTGGGGACTAAGGATAAAGTCTGAATCCCCTTTCAGTGTTCTACTAGTTGTAGTCCAAAGCATTGTCCCCTTAGAATGGGAAACTTATATTGTAACAGAGGTGGTTATTTTTACTTTTAGACAGGAAAGAACAGATCAATCTTCCAAGAACTACGTACCAGTCTTTTGATAGAAAAAGGGACACTCTTAACCCCAAAGCAAGACTTCTCTAGGAACAGCTGTCTTGATTCCACCAAATGATATGGTGCAGAGGTGGTATTCAGCAGGTTCTGACCAGTTCTGGAGAACCGGTAGTGGAAATTTTGAGTAGTTTGGAGAACCGGCAAATACCACCTCTGACTGGAGATTTTACAGTATCCTTCCCCTGCCATGCCCACCAAGCCACGCCGACAGAACCAGCAGTAAAAAAAATTGAATCCCACCACTGATCTGGTGAGATAGGCAATGGGGCTTTTAGTGGTAGCCAAGGTCAACCAGGCAGGGGCTAGGGCTTGTTATCAGTAAGTTTAGATATGGAGGACTGGAGAAGGCAAGTAGCATTTTGGTGAGTTGCATGCAACCCATTTACTACCGGCTGTTCCCATTATACCTTTCACCACGCACATTGTGTAGTCTGGTGTCACGTTTCTTGCAACGGCCTCTGAAGATAGTTCATGTTTGGGCCCTGTTTTCAGCTTTGCGTTATTTCTTAGCCTGACATTAATATCAGAATCAACTGTCAGACAAATCTATCTGGATTGCTTTTGAAAAATTTAATGCTTACCAAAAGAAATTGTGAGACTCGTCCAGCAAAATTTTTCCTCTCACTGGAACCACTAAAGAAATCTTCAAGTGCACAATGTTCTGTCCACAGTTTATTTCTTCTTTGAATAACAACAAAATGTATGGGGAAAGCATTGATCCCTGGAATGAAACTCCCCAAAATCTGAGTTGCCCTCCATTCTGCTGTTGTTCAGAAGAACAGGGAAGAACTGGCTTGGTGAGGGAGAGTTAGACACCTTGCTTCATTTCATCTGTCCTACCATGCTTGTCAGTGTTTAATTTTTATTGACTCTATTGAAATTTCTTTGTTTGGTTGTTGTGAGCTACCCAGAACTGTTGGGAGTTAGGTTTAATAAATTATTATTATATCACATACATTATTATAACACATATATATGAGCCACGGTGGCACAGTGGTTAGAGTGCAGTACTGCAGGCTACTTCTGCTGACTGCTGGCTGGCTGCAATTTGGCAGTTCAAAACTCACCAGGCACATGGTCAACTCAGATGGCTAAAATAGGACCCAAATTGTTGGGGGCAATATGCTAACTCTGTAAACCAGGGGTATCAAACTCAAGGTCCAGGGGCTAGATTCGGCCTGTGGAGTGCTTAGATGTGGCACGTGGGCCTGCCCTGGAAACAGCAAAGGACCGGCCCGCGGTGCCTCTGCCAGGGAAATTGGAGCTTGGGAGGGTTGCATGTAGCCCTGTTGAGCTCCATTTTCACTGGCAGGAGAGGAAGAGGCCATCGCAGCCAAAAATGGAGGTTGTGAGGGCCACGGGTGTCACTCCCACGCTCCATTTTCGCTGGTAGAGGGTTGCAGGAGCCATTGCAGCTAAAATGGAGCTCAGGAACCCGTTTTCACTGGCAGACTGCTCGGGCCACCACAGGGGCCCCTGACAAGAGTGATGTCGAGCATGGCCATGCCCATCCTGGCCATGCCCACCCTGACCCCGAAGGTCAAAAACAACCCTGATGTGGCCCTCAATGAAATCACATTTGACACCCATGCTATAAACTGCTTAGAGGGGGCTGTAAAAGCACTGTGAAGTGGTATATAAGTCTAAGTGCTATTGCTATTATCTCTTAAATCCCTGAAATTAGTTGTGTTTATACTCACCTTTCCAAAACTAGCAGCATTAACTGGCTGGGTATCATTTTTCTCACAGAAATCCAAATAGTGCATGTAGAGGGCACTTCGAGGAATGCAGACACCTTCTGCAATCTCGTAATTCTCCTCCAGCCTTAAAAATAAGGACAAAACAAAGAAGACAAATATACTGACTTCCACGTACACCCATCTCTCTCTCTCTCTCTCTCTCTCTCTCTCTCTGTGTGTGTGTGTATAGGCTTGTATGCATTAGAAGTTCTGAACCTTTAAGGCCTGGCAATTTTATTTTAATTTTCTTTTGTTTTCCTTTCCCCATAGAATCATAGAACGTAAAGCTTGGAAATTCCTTGCTGAGTGTAGGACTCCATTGCCACAGTGTTCTTAACAAGATATCAACCTTCTGTTTGATTATCTTCAGCAAACAAGAGTCTATCACCTCCTGAGCTAGTCTGTTGAACATATCTTTAGGAAATGCTTCCGGGTGTCCAACCAAAATCTGATTTTTTGGAATTTAAATCCAGTATTTCTTCTAGAACAGGGGTCCCCAACCGCCGGTCCGCGGACTGGTACCGGTCCGCGGACTGGTACCGGTCCGCGGAACAAGTCTTACCGGGCCGCTGGTTACTGGGCGCCGCCATCTTTTTTTGATAAAAAAGTGCTTCCGGTGAGCTTTTCCGGGTAGAAAGCTCACCGGAAGCACTTTTTCGTCAAAAAAAGATGGCGGCGCCCAGTTGATGCCGGTACCGGGCCGCGGCGCCCAGTTGATGCCGGTACCGGGCCATGGCGTAAAAAAGTTTGGGGATCGCTGTTCTAGAACACATTTCAACAGCTCTGCCCTGCCTGCTACATGGCAGCCTTTCAGATACTTGAAGGTTTCATATCTCACTCAAGTTTCTTAATGCCTTCGGATAATGCTTAATCCTTTATTTCAATCACCTTTTATTTTATTTTATTTTATTTACATTGAATGCTTTTATAGATGAAAATTAGCTCCAGAATACTATAACATTATATGCTAGTTTTCGATCTGAAAGAGCAGACATATGCTTACATGAATCTACTCAGAAGTGAATAGCAAGTAGTAATTGTCATCTAATGAACGATTGATTATTCAGGGGCTGAATTTGCACATTTTTAAACAGACTCATAAAAAGATGCATTCTTAGCAATTTGTTATTTTTTTTATAATCTGCACATGTTAAATTATAATATAATTTTTAAATTTTTGGTAAGGTATAAACCTTTATTTGCAAATTATCATTTATAATCTTGGTCAGAGTACAAATCTAATCAATAAGTAAAATAAATGCAATTTGAGATGTATTATTATTCATTTATGCAATTATTTGTAACTCAATTCCAAAAGGATTCTTTAATATCATTTATGTTACTAAAGTATAAAGAATTAGAAGGAAAAAAGTCACCAGTCTCCTCCATACCAATATGCTCCATTTCCTAGCAGTAACTACCAAGGCCAACAGGCCTAGCATGAAGAGTTGTGTCCTGCATGTAGGGGATCTGCCATACCATCAAAGGCTTTCCAAAATAGTCATGTATCAGTGCTTGTTTCAATGTGCTCCTTATGTATCTTTAAAATTTATTCCTTAATAATTCTGCTTGTATTTCAAGGTGCTAGAGGACAACAGCCTATTACAGACAAAGTTACATACATAGTCAGCACTCTGGAATTCGTTTCCAGTCTTCTCTTTCAAAGTGTAAGAGAACAACAAAAAAGCACTTCATTTTTAGTATAATTCATCTAAGCCACCTGCTACTTAAGCAGATAAGATAATTACAATAATTATTTGATGGTACGTCTTCTGCCTCAGTCCAGAGTTTAAAACTATATTTGACCTGAGGACTTTACATTCCTATGCTGTTCACACCAGCTCACTTATGTCTTCAGCCTAACTTTCTGTTATCCTTTCTCCTCCCTCCCCATTCTAACTATTCCATCCACAGCATCCATCCTTCATTCTGTAGTCATTCCAGCCAGGACAGAATCATAGAATTAGAAAACTAATTTAGGCTACCGAGTCCAGCCTCCTGTTCAGTGCAGGAATCCAGATTAAAACATTGCCAGCAGATGGCTGTACAGCCTCTGCTTGAATACATTTAGCAAAGGAGACCCCAACAACATCCTTGGTAAAACAGTTCTAGGCAGTTTTTATTCTTATCTAGGTTGGTACAATATGCATTGTTACCAATTGGGTTATTTACCCTAGACATAAGCTAAAAGTAGCAACTCTGATTATGTCATGAAGTACCCAGACCTCTTCTTGCAACTCTTTGGCTGCTTGCATCTATTTTTAGAAGTACATGGAATCTCTGTAGCATTACTAGAAGGATGGGTATTTCAGAAGAATCTGTGCTTCTAGTTAAATGCTCCCCTAAACCTTATTTCTGCTGCTAACACTTTTAGGAATAACATTGGTAATGTCCAATAACATTGGATGGATGAATTATGGAAGATACATACTTGGGTCAGCAAAGAGGAAACTAGTTAGTGGAGACATGATGCAGGGAGAATGCTGTACTGTTATATAATAGTAATAATAATGTTTAATACGGATTAAACTGAAACATAAAAATAAGCTTCAATTAACACTAATTTAGAAAAATATGGATTTGAAAATAATATTAATAATATCTTAAAGTAACCTGTGAGCCAATTAGTAGGGACCTTTCTTAGAAAAACTGGTTTATATGTCTTGTTATATTGTTTGGAGATTCTCCTCCCCAAAACTCCATTAGCCTTACAATAATTTTTCTTTCTTTCTTTCTACAAACTATTTCATTAAGATATTGGAGTGGTTGAATAGAATTGGTTTCTAAAGGCAGCATCTATTCTTATTTTCTGCCTACCACAATATCATTGCTGCATTTGCCCTCAAATATACAGACCCTGAACAAAACCTCTTTTCAAAGGACACAGATGGTTTGTATGCCATAGGTACTAATTGGCACGTCAATTTCTCTGACCAGGACTGGCCAGAGGATTGGATAAAAGAAAGCGTCTCAATTATTTCTCTTCATAATATCTAATGATTTTCCCCCTTTCTCTCCATTCTTTCATGGTGAATCATTAGTCTGTGTTAAACAATCTTCTGTTATATCTGAATTTTTCTTTAATGATCAAAAACCATTTTGATCATTGTTTAGTTTTACATATTTTTGTCATTTCAATAGAGAAAACTTTGCCATATTTTGAACTCTGGACTAGCCTATAGTGTCATAATGAACTTGAGCTATTTACTATTAGCAATGCCCTTAAAACACTATCTTTAAAATTATGTGCAACATTGCAGCATATTTCATTTGCTAAATAAAATTCATTTGCATTCCATTATGTACTCTTAAAAATCCAAGCAAAGCAGGGTTATAAAACTGGTGCTTCATTAGAATGAAGGCTGGATTCCTGAATCAAAGACACCCATAATTTGTTCTGCTTGGGATTTACTTAATAGCTTGTGTGGTTACAGTCATTATGGTTCATAAACTTTGGTTTATAGCCTAGCCCTAGCATATTGAAAGACATCACCCAATTATAGTTTATTAAATAATTTGTAGTTAAATGAACTGTGTTAAGTAGCCAGATGTAATTCTCCACAATCACCTGTTGTTTTGATTTTCATTACCATTTTAATAAAATACTCATCTATCATTCAGAGGGCACAATACAGAGACCTGTAGAATTTAATGGATGCTATGTCATGATCTGACCAGGATTAAAAAAGAATGTATCTGACTAAAGAATGCATTCAACAACTGTACATTTCATTGTAGTTCAGCATTATCCCAGTTCCATAAAGAGCTGTGATATCTAAAATTAGTAGTATATAGTCTTTGAAGTGTTAATTAGTACATCATAATCTTTCCCATCAATTTAGATCAGGGGTCTCCAACCTTGGCAACTTTAAGACGTGTGGACTTCAACTCCCAAAGTTCCTCAGCCAGCTTTGCTCTGGGAGTTGAAGTCCACACGTCTTAAAGTTGCCAAGGTTGGAAACCCCTGATTTAGATTGCTGAAGTTTCATATCTCCTCCTCATACTAACAAAAGCAAAAGGAATAAATGTAAGAATAAGAGTTTAAAATGCTGAAGGAGATAGCATATTGCATTTGGGGTCAGGTGTATGTCTATCAATGCTCTGATCCAAGGATAACCTCAAGGGCGTGTTCAGAAAAGTCAAATTGGTATCTATGGCAGTGTGACTGAACCTAAACCTATTTTTTTAATGTGAATCGCATATTAAAAACATGTAGAGTCTCAACTGCACCACCTTGACTTTTTTTTTTTTAACCATATCCTGTGGTAAGAGGTTGGAACCTAGAATAAATAAAATATTTCCAAAATTTATGGGTATCCTCAGGCTCTGGGGATCTTCCATCTTTGGTTTTGGATGGTGTTGCATTTTCCTATTCCCAGATTGGTGCACAACTAGAGGGGTCATCTGGGATACACAGCTTCTACTGGAAGAGCAGGTACCAGCTATGGCCAAGAGTAACTTGCTCAAGGACATTTAGTGACCCAGGTGCACTCTTTCTTAGACCAGGGGCACATCAGACAGTCACTCATAGCCTCATAAATGGATTGCAACAATGTGCTGCTCTTGGAAACTATTCAGAAATTACAACTGTAACGGAATGCACCATAGGTGCTTTTTCAAGAGGCAACTGGACTTTCTGGTTTTTCTTTGAAGATGTTTTGCTTCTCATCCAAGAAGCTTCTTCAGCTCTCGGAGATGTTTAAAGCTCCCAGAGAGCTGAAGAAGCTTTTTGGATGAGAAGCGAAATGTCTTCAAAGAAAAAGTCCAGTTGCTTCTTGAAAAATCACCTTGGGGACAACCATGACCTGAATGTCTGAGAATCTCCATAGACATTTGTTCCAGAATGCAGTGGCATGGCCAATGTTAGGGGTGCTTTGTTGTGTCTATGTGACCCCATTGTTCCACAGCTGCACCAGTAAAAGTTCCAGGTGCAATTCAAAACGCTATTTATTATGTATAAAATCCTTCATGGCAAAAGGCCTGGATTATTTGAAGGGCTGCTTGTTTCCAGTTACTTCTGTCCATCTGGTGCAATCAGGCTGAATGGGTGTGCTCCAGTGCAGCTCCCATCACTTAACTGATATCATCTTCTGGGGCCAAGGAAGTATGAGTACTGGAGCCCTTGCTCTGTGGAATGATATCCTCCTGGAGATGTGGTGGCTCCCATCCTGATGATTATCAGGAAATTAATGAACTTTTTTTTAAAGTTTCTGGACCATCATGAATATCCTTGTGTGTGTTTTACGCTTTAAAACAACAACCCATAATTATAAGTCAGGCAGCCTATAAATTATATGTATGTATGCATGTATCTCTCTCTCCTTCCAGGTACCTGTGACAATAAACCTACAAGATTCTTAACATTAATCCCTTCATAACTGGTTTCAAGCCAACACAGATCAACTTAAGAAATTCCAGATTCTGTGTTAGATACAGAGTACTAAAAGTGCCTGACTCACTTGCCATGGAATAATCAGTGAATCCATGGACAAAAAGCAGATGATTTAAGAGAACATAATGCAACAAGTTCATAGTAGCCAATTCCAAACTCATATATAACTAATTAATCTGTGAAATAAAAAACCAGATGTACAGAAATACACTTTTCCATGCTCACAGCCATCTCCTCACTTCTTTCTCCTTGATTTTATCTAAATTCTCCTTTCTATTGGCTATCTTCTCCTCACCAACATATACTCATCCCCTGCAGCTTCCATTCTCACTCAGCTGGTTAGGTTGGGCTCCATCATCTCTGCTCAGCCTTGATTGCACGGGCCAAACAACCTGAAATGAGATGCAGAGGATGTAGCTCACTCAGGTTGCTGCCACCACAATTCATTGGTCTTCCAAAGTCTTGGTCAGAGATGAAGCTAGAGCTAACCTCAGCTAGGTAAATACACCATGCTATGCTGTAGTTTGCTAAAAAAAACTTTTGCCAGATAAACAAATAAACAAACACATAAATAAAATGAATAAATAAATAAGCCACAATTAGGCTGAGTTCACACATCCCACTAAGCTCAAACAAGCAATCTATATTATGAATAAATAAGATATATGGACCAAATCAAATTATGTTAGCTAGCCCAAACCTAGTTTTGACTGACACACTGCCATAGCTACTTTGTCTCTTCTTGATCCCTTTTCAAATGCTGTTCATGGCACTTCAGGCTCCCCCTGACCAATTGCAATTATCACATTGCTTAAAAGAGGAAGAGGTAAAGTGCTGCTGGCAAATTAGGAGGCAGAATGGTGTGTTATTCCTTCCATAATTATTGATGCCTCTAGTTCACAGTCATTGAATTGTACAGACTTACAAGCTGAAGTTATGCAGCTTAGAATCAAATGCAGACAAACAAAAGGGGTGATGATTATTTGCAACATATTGTACTCTGGAGAACACGAAGTTCTTTTGCAATGAGCCTAGACAAGCACAGTCAGGGCAGATATGACTGCAAGGACAAACAAGCGACAAGGGCAGTTGTGCTGCTAAAGATGGTGGCCTGAATGATAGTAAGTGGCTTATGCCTCTCTTGGGCAATTGGGACATGGTAGCAAATAATGGCTACATTCCAACAAGCAGAATATCCTGGGAGTTTTGGGACGTATTAACCTCTATGATTAAGGATGCTGCCATTATTGGCTTGTTTCCTCCTGAGAGAAGAGCTTTATGAGATAATTAGCTGTGGCAATTTGGCTGAAACGAGTCCATCAAATTATAGGAAAGACTAAGCAATTGCCTTCTGAGGGGGCATGGAGTAATCCGAAGTATTAGTTGCTGGACAAAAACAACAATAACAAAAAAATGAATTGCTGTTTAAATATTTGGGAAAGATTAACCATTTACTGGCACAGTTTAGGGTAGCATAAGTTCAGAAAAGAATATTAATATGCAATCAGTTTCCAGAGGCCCTTCTCTATCTACATTCCTATGTCTCCATAGTGATTAGATGGGTAACTAGAAGAGATAGAACTGAACACTTTTATGTGCTTACATTTATTGATATTTTATAGTGTTTTTGTTAGAGCTAACTAGAGCTATTTGTCTTTTAAAATTCTAGCGAAACACAGATCCTTTAAACATATTTTTTTAAAAAAGATACTAATCTTCAAACATTGAATTCTAAGCACAGAACAATACTTAATGAGCATAAGCATAAGATGATGTATTTAGTAATCCAGAAGAATGCAACAGTGTCAAAATCATTTCTACCTGTTTATCATACTGTTGAATATTTCTAATTTGCCCGAAAGTAGTTGCTTGAGAATAAATGCTTTTTCTTCTTCTTCAAGAAACAGAATCTTACCATTGCAGAGTTGCTGGGGTAGAGTGTGGTTTGGATGCTCTGTTATTCTCTTTCTCCTCATCTGTTGAGGGGGAAAAAAAAACTCTTAGGGGACATTTTTTCAGTTGAGATGGGCATGAGAAAATTTCGCAGTTGGGAATATTCTCAAATTCCCCAGAAACAACCTTGAAATATGAAGATTATGAGAATCAGAATGATTGTTTAAGAAAATGCCACGCTGTACAATCTAATGCCTGTGCACCAGTGTTCCCATGAATACCTTCTTTGGAACCCAAAAGAAATAAATGTTTACATCTCATCTACCCTTCCACATCCTTTCACCATATTGGGTCATTAATTTACCTTCCCTGTTTAGAGACTCGAACCTCCAGAAAAAATATAGCAGGACTTTCTACAAACAGGAAAATGCACCTCTTACAAGTTCCATGGATATGTTGAACCTTTCTTATTCTGTTTATTGCAGTTGTGACTATTTAAATCCAAATACTGGTTGAAAATATCATTAGAGTCTAAAGATTCTATTTACAGTAGACCAGTCATTACGATAGACATTTCCTTCCACCTTCCTTCCTTTTAATGTTGTCAACAAGAAATGTTAACACATTGCTAGAAACCATGGAAGAAATTGTGGAAGAAAAACTTGCTCCTTTTGAAGAATATTTCTGAACATTTCTTTGTTCTTAAGAATGGGCACCATTCCTACATTCAGTGTTGAGATTCTCATTAAAACTTGATCTAGTAAATCAGAAAGGCCCTTTTCTGCTAGGGGTGTCATTGTGGCGGGCACATGCAGGACAGCATTGTTCCAATTCATTTTTCAGAGCTGTTGTAATAATGCTATTTTTGGGAACAAGGGGCATTTGTCAAGTTTTCTTTGCTCAGGAAGAAAACATAATTATGACAATGTTATCAAGTTTTATGATTGTCTATTGTCTCCTGTTGGACTCGCATATAAACAGTTGGACAACGAGGAATATAATCAAGCAGAGGCTGAATGACAGACCAATAGCCTGATTCTGTGGGTTCAACTCTTTCTTAGAAAATGAAGAGTGAGGTGAGCAACCTTAGCTGGGAAATAGCATGTGGATCAGGTGGACTGGTCTGGGGAAGTATTAGCTCTCCTCCTGAGACTTACCGATTCAGAGGATGCATCTTGATGAACAATAAGTAGTCCTCCCTCAGGGCAATTCTATGGTGAGAGGCATGGCACTGAAGTAGAACAATGCTGTTACCTGGTACTGATTGATGTATCTGATCCCCTTCCCTCTTGGGTGGGTTTTTCCCCCCATTCACAGACATTGAGGAGACAAGAGTAGTCTCAACTGCTTGAGGCTTTCACATTAATCTCTTTCAAATCGGAACAATCCAGGTTCAAATCTTTATAGAGGCCAGTGCCTGCAACTTGGCTCCCTCAGCTAGGATTGCTATGAAGCCAGTGATATCACAAAGGCTACGGGATTGACATCAGGTTAACAGATCTAAGTTAAAGTGCACTGAATTACCTCATAGGGAATGTTGATATCACCTAGGTCAGTGATGGCAAAACTTTTTGGCACTGAGTGCCCAAACTGCACGCGCACACCCCCAAAATGCAATGCACACGCATCCCTGAGCATGCCCCCATGCATTCGCCCAGTCCCTGTGCATGCATATACATCTCCCATGCACTCGCCCCATCCCTGCACATGCACGTGCATCTTCCATGCATGTGCATGTCTCATGTGCATGCGCCCTACCCTTCGCATGTGTGCCCCACCCCCTGTGCTTGCCCCCACTGGCCAGCGGGAGGTGCGCACACATGTGTGGCAGAGCTGAGGTGGGGCGACAGCTTACGTTGCCCATAGAGAGGGCTCTGCATGCCACCTGTGGCATGCGTGCTATAGGTTCGCCATCATGGACCTAGGTTATCCAGTAAACTGAGCCTATTGGGTATTTATGATCAGTGTGAAACAAGCAACAAATCATGAGAAAATAATTAAGTCAAATTACCATACAAGCTTGACAGCTGAATCTGTCTAATCTCTTTATAAATTTATTTAAACCAGGGGTGTCAAACTCAAGGCCCACGGGTGCAGGGTACTTAGATCTGGCTTGTGGGGCCACCCTAGAAACAGCAAAGGACTGGCCAGGCTCCGTTTTCGGCTGCAATGACCTCCTGCAACCTTTTGCCAGCGAAAATAGAGCTCTGGAGGGCCATGCATGTGGCCTTCCCAAGCTCAGTTTTTGCTGGCAAAGCGCTTGGGCCACCATAGGCACCCCCGACATGAGTGACGATGAGCTGGCCATGCCCACCTGGGTCTCCGAGGTCAAACACAGCCCTCAATGAAATCGAGTTTGACACCCCCGATTTAAGCTTTTGGCTGTTGTCATCTTATTCATAGGGTGAGACATGTAAGTTACTATACTATTACTACCAGTATATTTCAGTGCCTACATTTTGAAGCCCCAATTGCTGTAGCTTTAGTGCATGGGAAAAATACTGCATAGGCATAGCTAAATTAATTTCACATGCTCTACTTACTGTCTTATATATAAATGAGTCACTATAAAGGAAATGCACCAAAACATATCACTATCATATCATCTACAATACATTTTTATGGAATATACCTATAATGAATAATGAAATGATTGGCTCTTGGGAAATTCTGTCTTGATTTGTTACACTTTGCCCTGCAGTTTAAGCCTAAATTCCATATCTGTAAGGCTACAGTCCTACATATACAGCTTGGGGGAGGGGGTCTACCCAGATGAGCTGAGCTGCATTTGGTTCTTAGTAAATATGCCCAGTATTGACACTGAACAAATCCCCACACGAAAGCAAACTTGTTCTTCATTGGGAAATTCATACTCATCGTTATATTAGAGAAGTTAAAATAGGAACTTTTTATGTTATTTCCGTAACTCTATTTTTAAAAATCCCAATCAACCTGGTTAAGGGTTTTTACGCGTATATCGTGTCCACTAAAAATTTCATACTTATTGTAGTAGCAAAATAACTAAGAAAATAAAGTATACATTGAGATAATTGTTATTATCTTGTACTATAATTAGATTTTTTTTCAGAACAGGAAAAATGTTCACTAATATCTTTAGGTGCAATCCTGAACAGGAATTATGTAGGCTGATGGGCGTCCTTGAATGGAATCCCAGATGTCCCCAAACGCATAGAATCTTCAGCAGAACTCCTAAAGCTAATATCTTAATGGCTTATCTTTAAGTCTCTCTGCCAGTGCCAGATATACTCAGCTGTCCAATATTATAAATACAAAACACTGTTTTTCTGGCTGATGCATTTGTCATTTAATGCTAACTATTTCTCTGCTTGAAGATGTGGAAGGGTGCTCCCTAACTCCCTAATAGATCTATACGGATATTATAAACTTCAAGCCTTTTTTAACCAATAGGAATCTATATATTTCCATAGAAAATAAATCATACTTACTTTCATCATTAGACACATTTGCCAGGGATGTGTGGCTGGAATAACGTTTGTTTTCACTTTCACTGAGACATCTTTCAATCCAACTCTCTGCAAAACATTTTTTTAAAGTAATTAATCTGTATTAGAATTTTTCCCCTCATATCTGTGTAAAAGATGGCAAAAAGAAGCATAAGTTATTTTCTTCTAGCTTTTATAGTAAAAAAAAAAAGAAACATACATAACAAGATGTTACTCTTTATTAATAGTCATTACCAGCTGTCTAAGGCAGTTGTCCAAATGTTAGGACTAGCTATACAGTTTGCTCTTTGTATACAGATTCCATGGTTACTCAGTAAAATATTTGTACTTCTAAATGCTAGCTGTTCATTGCTAGCTATAATTTGACAGAAGAACGGAGCGCCCTATAAACAGTGTTTAATTCAAAACATAAAGCACAAAAATTTTCAAGTATTGTTTTGGTCACATGACAATATCTCTTATATAATATTCACTCATTTGCATATCTTCGTTTTCATACCTTCACATGCTGGAAACCAAATTTTTGAAATCAGAACTTCTTTGAGCAATTTTTAACTCTGGGGATGTTGTTTGATATCACTTACTTACAGTATTATTCTTGCATGCTACCATTCCTCTAACAAACTCAAGGGAGTGAATGACCTTTCTGCCACCATTTCAAATGTGTCAGATTTCTATCCTGACTTTTATCTAACAGCATTAGACAGAATGCATAATATTTCTTCCTCTCTTTTTCTCCCACATAACAACTGTATGAGGTAGATTAACTGTGAGTAATTGGCCCAAAGTCACAAAGAGAGTTTCCACTGCTGAGATGAACAAAAACATGGCTTTCCCCATTCCTAATCCAATACTTTAAGGAACACTGAGCTGATTTTGGGCATAAGAAAGGAATGTTTGAGCTATTAAGTGAAAGGTAAAGGAATCCCTCCAGATTTTATTCCACTAGTCCTTGCCAACTATAGGGGGTGATACTCATCTCTGTTTCAAGGCTGTTGAGCTAACACTGTCTAAAGACATTTCTGCAGTCATGTACCTTCCCATCAAAGTGGTACCTATTTATCTACTCACATTTGCATGTTTTCAAACTGCTAGGTTGGCAGGAACTGGGGCAAGGATGGCAAGGATCTAGGCTGCTGGCTTTCCAGACAACAAGCCCAATGCCTTAACTGCTGAATCACTGTGCTATTAAGCTATTAAGGGCAGACTTTTAAAGAAGATAACTCAGCCCTGAGAAAGAGGAAAGCAAAAGAAACTCAGAATAACCCTGACTTGGTTTTGTTTAGAATAGGTAGGCAGAAACTTGAAAATACCCAAGCTTCTGTTTTGCTACTTTATTACAATAAAAAGCATTTCTGGAATTGAGTCATTGAGTCTAAAACTGAGTTGAGCAGCATTGTCAGACTTCATCTATTCTTTCAAATCCCCATTCCTGTATCTCATAAGCTTAGATTTAAGGTCATCTTGATAGTACTGGGAGCCCCTGCTGGAATTTTTCCCAAGTGCTGCAAAACCTGACCCTAACCAAACTCTTCAGGAGTCATTGGCTCCAATGACAGATTTCCCAACTATCCATACTGTAGAGTTGTCATTGCAGGAGTGTTCCTATCTCGGATGGCAAACCTCAGATAAAGAATGTTTCTAAGCAAATACAACTCAGGCAAACAAAGTCATTAATCTAAAGGAGGATTAGAGAGAGGAAGTAAACATATGTTAGACTTTAACTAGAAATAATTAATTGTGTTAATTACTATTATGCTAAACAGTAACCAAAGTTAAGCAGTAACCAAAGTTAACCAATGTTGGAGGATTACTAAAAATGTGTATAAATGCAAGACTAGACTCCAATAAAGTTCATCATGATTCAGTTGATCATGATCAAGCAACTCGACTGCCTTGTCATTACAACACCATATTTAATTATGGCTATTAGTCATCTGGAAAAGAGATAATAAAAATCTTAGAGTATATTTAAAAGAGCAGGAGCATTGTTCTTTCCACTACCTATCTGTGTAATGGAAAGGTGTCATATATTTCCAGAATAGGGTAGGTATTGTTTTAAAAAGCAGATATTATTTAAAAGAAGAAAGCTGCTTCTGCCTCACTCCAACAGAAGACTCTAGAAAAATCCTTCAGAAGTCTGTGGATGGAGATTCTTGTGTATGCTGGGATTCCATGCATATCCTTCTGTATCTTCCGCTCATGGAAACAACAACAAGGGCAGTTAGTGCTTTTCCCTCTCCTGCCTCATTGTGCTACATGAGGCAAGCTGTCCTAATTAACGTCAATTCCATAGGGCTTCTCATTAAAATCTCAAAATTGTGTCTTCCTTCCTTCCTTCCTTCCTTCCTTCCTTCCTTCCTTCCTTCCTT